AAATCAGCTGCAGCAATTACATCAACCTTCTGTCTCCCAAGCCAGTAGTTAAAGGTCAGGGCTGCTGCCCATGCTGATGACAGCAAGTCTTGTTTAGTTTTTTCAGGCTGCATTCCCAAGCTTACATATCAAGAAACATGGTATGTCCCATTAAATTAAGCGGGGCTTACTTCCAAATATACATGTTAAAAGATTTGGTTACAAGTACATGGGAGGTAACTTATCTAACGCAGGATGGAAATTATACAGCCCTCCAGATGCAGTTCTATTGTAGTTCCCAGCAGCCATAGATATCATAGACAAGGGTGAGGAATGCTGGGAGTTGCACTCCAACAACTTCTGCAGTGACATAATTCCAACCCGTGTTCCTTCCAATGGTGCATTCCCATGCATATCTCCTGAGAAGTATGTTCTGTTATGTCTGATGAGACTATTCTCAGATTTGCGTATAGGAGGGCAGCAATTCCATAAGTTATATTTGTTGGTATGAAAACTTGTTTATAGTTCTTTCTGTAAATCCATCAAAGACACACATAATTACGCAGACTATTGTGACAACTATTAAAGTCCATCTCTATTCTATCTGGCAGTTTATTAGTTGTCAGTGATCACCAATAGATGCAATCTCAAAGGGCAGGCCACTAATGGCTATAAAATGTTTTCATACCAACAAACATAACTTGATTAATTTCCCTGGACCTCAAAGCATATGGAGCTGGCTACAGGGAGTACACTACTCCCTTGTTGCAAAGGTACTTGTCCTTTATATGGCTTAGGTCCAAGTCATTTGAAGGACTGTATTCTCCCTTATGAACTGGCTAGTGTTTTGAGATCAGCTGGGGAGGCCCATCTTTCTGTCTAGAGTTGCCATATCCCAGTCTCTCATATCCTGGCATCTGGGGCAGACAGTGTGTCACTTGCCCAAGATCACCTAGTAGGTTTCTATGACCAAGCAGGGAATATAATCCTAGTCTCCAGAATTGTAGTCCAATGTTCAAACTACTATACCACAGTGGCTCTCATTAAGAGTACTAAATATATAGAGAATTTTCATAGAAGTATTTGCCTTTTCCTAGCTGTGTATAGTACCCATACAATAACTTAACAGCTATGCAAGATTGTTATCTGTTGGTTTTTAGTTTTTAATGTATTTGGGTATTTTTATATTGTCTTTCAGAACCAACAGCTTAC